TCATGCTGCCTGCCGCACTACATCGGATGTCGTTTCTACCCTACACATTTCTTTTGTAAATGAACTTAAATGGTACTACTCAACAAACAGGTTGTACAATCCAGTGTGCTGCCTGACATGTTCAAGAGCACATACGAGGCCATCACAAAAGGCAACCCAATGTGGAACCAGCTTCCTGTCCCAGAAGCATCGCTCTACTCATGGGATTCAAACTCAACTTACATCCACGAGCCCCCCTACTTCAAGGACATGACCATGTCCCCGCCTGGCCCACACGCGGTGAAGAACGCCTACTGCTTGCTCAACTTTGGAGACAGCATTACCACGGATCATATTTCACCCGCAGGCAGCATCCACAGGGACAGTCCTGCTGCCAAGTATTTGCTTGAGCGTGGCGTGGACCGGAAAGACTTCAACTCGTATGGTAGCCGGCGCGGTAACGATGAGGTGATGGCAAGAGGAACATTTGCAAACATCAGGATTGTGAACAAGTTTTTGGGTGGAGAGGTTGGGCCCAAGACTATTCATGTGCCCACAGGGGAGAAGCTCTCTGTTTTCGATGCAGCCACGGTACGTTGCTGCTAGTTGTATGTGAATAAATTAATATTGCACATTTATTTGTACCTTAGTTTTATATGTATGTTGGTGTAATATTGCAGAAATACAAGTCTGAAGGTCATGATACGATCATTCTTGCTGGCGCCGAGTATGGGAGTGGCAGCTCTCGTGATTGGGCCGCCAAGGGACCAATGCTTCTCGTAAGTTGCAGATTTAGTGACTTATATTTCAGTCCTCAATACATATTTGGGCAATAACAGCATCTAAAGTAAGTGTGCATGTGCTGTTATTTTCAGGGTGTGAAAGCGGTGATTTCCAAGAGCTTTGAGCGGATCCACCGAAGCAACTTGGTCGGGATGGGGATCATCCCGCTGTGCTTCAAAGCCAGCGAGGATGCCGACTCACTCGGCCTTACTGGACATGAGCGCTACACCATCAACCTTCCCACCGATGTCAGTGAGATCCGCCCTGGCCAGGATGTGACCATCACCACGGACAACGATAAATCCTTCACTTGCATACTTCGCTTTGACACAGAGGTATATATCAAAAGCTTGTTGGATCTTTGCTATCAGTCCTACAGTTTTGTATGAATTGTGTTAGTTAGGAGCTTCTCCGTTGGGTACTTGGGTTGACACATTCTTTGTGGTTGCAGGTGGAGTTGGCCTACTACAACCATGGAGGCATCCTGCCCTATGTAATCCGCAACATGGCAGCAGCTCAGAACTAGGCGAAGGCGCACACACCCTTTCCGCCAACGATGGCGGCATGCCAATCTTGTTAGTGCCACCATCAACGTCGAGCGTTCACTCTTAATTTTGTGGCCTTATGAATAAACCGAAAATAAAGCCCGCATTTCCATACCTGGCGTGGGCGCAAGTTGATTTGTGGGTGTTTGGTTGTGGTTATGAAACCGTGTGGTCATTCTGAACAGACATCCAATTGTGGAGGATTAAAATCGTAGAGTCTGGTGTACATTGCTTTGTGCCAAAAACATATATAAAGTGATAGCAATCTGGAGTTCTTTTTTAACCTTTACCTCACCAATCTACTGCCTGCCTTTACATACCTGTAGTGACCTTTATATTTACTAAGGTTGCCAACTGCTTTGGCACGGATGCATGCACTTCCAGTTTCTTTTCTTCGTTTTGTCCCTTGCTTTATTTTCGTCCTTACTGATGTTTTTAGATAGATTTAACTCAGAAATTTTAAATCACATATTCTGATATAGTCATTGGCCAGATTGTGCGATCTCCTTTACCATTTCTTCGAATCGTTAACATATAGCCTGAGGAGTTGAGGTTTCCTTTTGTTTCACCCACCTTTTCTAACACATGAACAGCCTGCTTTGTTTTAATTAGCTCACAAAGAGCAAGGGAAGAGCAATGTGTTAGAAGTCAAAACGATCTGAACACCTTATAGATCTCCAGCAGAACAAATTTAGCATGTCTGCTCACCAAAAGATAAAGACCATAACCTATCTTGTGCACAGAGATAGTGACGTGTTTAAAAGGTACACCCTCCGATGGAAAAAAAGTGTAGTGGCTTTATTTCAGTATTTTTTTAAGGGAAATGCTATTGCTCAACCGGCGGATCATTGTACGCCCTCTGACCTCCGTGGCTGTTAGATTTGATTTGGATCGAACGACTCACAAACAATCTCTATCCTAGTACAGGTCTTGCAACTGACCCCTTGACCTCATCTGTTGCAGATCGAGCATGTGCGAGGGAGGCCACCGGTGACGATTGCTGGAGGATGCCTCTTCTCCTTTCCTCCTTTTCCTCTTCAACTATTCCTCTTTCCACATCCATGTGCCCGGACGCTCGCAACCAGCGGCCAAGCCAAGGACCGCCGCTTGTAGGTCATCGTCGCTGAGCGCATCCATGCTGGATTTCCGCCCCAAACCCAAACGCCTCCCTGTCGATCGATCGATGGATCTGGTTAGATCCACCATGCGGGTGTAGAGTGCCATCAATCTCGTCTCCATCCTGTCACCACCGATGCTGGCAGCAGCCACATCACCGCATGGTACGTCCGCATCCACTCCACGCTCGGCCCTGCGTCTCTGTTCGCAACATCACCTCGGAGGCAAGTTTCTGCAACAAAGGCGTTGTTGCGCAACGGCAACAGCGAACGAAGACGGTGCTAGTGTGCGGCGTGGCCGGAGATGTTATAACTTTTGCAACAAGAGTCTTGTTGTAAAAAATTAGACACGGCACGAGATGTTGTTACAATATTTGTAACAAGGGTCTTGTTGTAGAAAATAAGAGAATAAGAGGTTTTGCAACATGAGTCTTGTTGAGAAGAGAAGTTTTTTTTTTGAAAGTACGCCAAAGGTGTGCCTTAATTTTATAGAAGAGAAGAGCATGGGTCAATGTACAAGAAGATCAAGGATGGAAGCGAGCTTCCATCAAGGATGCACACCCTAGCACACCCTACACGCTAGTCTATGCCTACACTCTCACAAAACTGCCATAACCTCCTCCTCCCAAGCCTGCCAACCTTCACTCTTTAAGCTCCGCAATGATGGCAAGCGACAGATCTGACACAGTCTTCTGCTGGTTGGTCCGATGAAACACTCTGGCGTTGCGTTGCTTCCATAAAGCCCAAGTGGCCGCAATGATCACCGTGTCGAAACCACGCTTAAAACCCTTCCTGAAGTGAGCCCTCCTAGTCAGCCACCAGTCCAGCAAACTATCCTCCGGCTCCGGAATGTTGCCTTGCAAGCTCAGCGCCTCAAAGATGTTATGCCAGACTTCCCTAGCGTAGACGCACTGTACAAGTATGTGTTTCGCGTTGTCCTCATCTTGAAGGCACGTGTAGCAAGTAGACGGGGCATCCTGAAGGCCACGCATTGCTCTTCTGTTTGACGTCCAAATCCGATGTTGCACTGCCAACCACACAAAGATTTTGCATTTCAGAAGAGCCCAACTTTTCCATATGCAAGTGGCGTATGGAACCCTCTCAGCACCTAGGCAAAGTCTACAGTAGGTGGACTTAGCAGTGTATGTGCTAGACGGATCCGCCGGCCATGAGAAAGAATCTTCTCTGACCGGGTCTCGATTGATCGTGCTGATCGCTAGGTTAAGATGCGAGCTGCATATGGCCTCCAAAGTTGACTTCGCCGGTAATATCAAGCAGCCAGCTCCCGTCCGTCCTCTAATCCTTCCTCGACAGTGTGGCGGTTGATCGTTCGCGTGTCCACCAATGCATGAATGTAAGGTGCAATATCCTTGACCGCAAAGCCATGAACCCACCTATCTCTCCAAAACAGAACTTTGTTGCCCACCCCTACCGAAATGTGCACCAAACTGTCGAAAACCGCACGTGCCTCTCTGTCCACAACCATGGGTAGTCCTTGCCACGGCCTCTCTGGGTCCGTCCGCCTCAACCACTCCCACCCGACTCTCAGGGCCAAGCCTTGCAACTGAAGGTTATGAACTCCCAATCCACCTAGCCATGTGGGTTTGCAAACCGAGTTCCAAGCAACCAGGCACTGGCCGCCATTCACTTTGTCTTTGCCAGCCCAGAAGAAAGAACGCATCCATTGATCAATCTCTTCAAACACCCAAGCTGGAGCCTCCGTGACCATGAAGTGATGAATAGGTTTGGCCGCGATCACGGACTTAAAAACACGAGTCGTCCTGGGCGGTGCAACAGCCCCCTTTGCCAGGCCGGGGCAGACTTCTTAGCTTGGTTGAGCATGGGCTGCCATTCCACCCTCGATAGCTGTCTAATTGCCAGTTGAAGTCCAAGGTATTTGCAAGGAAAGCTGCCCAGGCGGCAATGAAGAAGAGACTCGACCCGATCCTGGATCTTATTGCAGAAAATTAGAGAAGAGAAGGTTTTGCAACAAGAGTCTTATTGAAAACATAAAGAACAATATAGACAGTGGGACGGCTCGCAAGGGGACATATATTTAAAAAAGGGTATTGATAAATCTCAATCGACTGAGACTTATGATGCTATAGGATCTTACGTGAAGATCCGTGCATTTTTTGTTTTTCCTTTTTCATTATTACATGTTATACTATTTGACTTAGACTTGGTTAAGTCTCAGTCCAGTGAGACCTTTAAAAAGATCGGCCAGCCGGCACGTATGCCCCATGTTTTAAGACCCAAAAAAATTGAGTTGCAAAGTGCAAGATTTAATCCATGCATGCATGCCATATGATTTCCGATTACATACCTTATCTAAACAGAGCCATGAATCACCCTATTTCCTCTGTTAATCATTTTCTGCAATTCTCCACTCAGAGGGGTAAGAGCAATGCTAGTATTATTGGAGGGGTAAACACACAAAGCTCCATCTAGTTTTGTTCATGGCGCTATCCTATATTCTTTCCCATCCGGGGATCGACCGAGAGTTCGTCGCACTCTATGAATTCCGCACCAGAATCAATGGCTGTCAGTCCTTTGACGATCTGCGCACACCGACGGTTCACACTCGGAACGCTTCCTTGAGGTCACCGTCGTCGCCGGCGCCGGCGTCCCCCTGAACCAGCTGCTTGCTCTCGCCGGCCCACGCGCTGATCCGTTCGTTCGCCTGCGCCGCCTCGTCCTCCCAGTCCGTGTTCCAGATCACGGCGAGCAGGACCGCCGTCTGCAGCGCCGTCCCGCACAGCATCCCCGCCCAGATGCCCTGGGGCCCGAGCCGGAGGAGGTAGCCGAGGCAGAACCCCAGGGGCAACCCGAAGGCGTAGTAACAGCCCAGGTTGATGTACGCCACCAGCGCCTGCCACCCGCCGCCGATGGCCACCCCGGAGATCACCGGCTGCACGCTGTTGAGCACCATGGTGACCGCCAGCAGGTAGGCCACCTTCCCCACGGCGACCTGCATGGCCCGGTCGCCCGTGAAGAGCGCCGCGAAGCTGTTGCGGTAGGCCAGGATGAGCGCCATGGCGAGCAGGCCGATGAGCAGGGACTGGGCGATGACCGACGCCACGGCGTGCTTCGCCGCCCGCGGACGGCCGGAGCCCAGCTCGTTGGACACGCGCACGCTGATGGCCGCGTTCAGCCCGATGAACAGCATCGCCTCCCACCCGTTGAGGTTCATGCAGATGGACACGGAGCCCACGGCGATCTCCGCGTCGTCGAGGTGGCCCGTGAGGACCACGAGCACCATCATGTACCAGACCTCCAGGCAGAGCATCACGGCGGAGGCCAGCGAGAGCTTGGCGAACGCCCACAGCCCCTCGAACGCCTTCCACGACAGGCCGTCCCACCCGCCGCCGTCCCCGCACCACCGCACCACGTACACCACCTGCGCCACGGCGATGCCCCACGAGGTGACGTCGTAGGCCGCGGCGGCGCCGGCGAGCCCCCACCCGAGGCGCGACACGAAGAGGTACAGCATGGCGACGTGCGCGGCGAGCGCGGCGAGGCTGATCCAGGCCAGCACCATCACCTTGCTCTGCGCCTGCAGGAACTTCTGCGTGGGGAAGGTGAGCGCGAGGGAGAACATCTGCGGGAGGATGCGGAGCGTGAAGTCGCCCGCGGCGTCGGCGATGGCGTCGTCCTGGCCGAGCGCGCGCAGGATGGGCGTGGCGAAGACGTAGAGCGGGGAGAGCAGGACGGCCGAGACGGCGAGGATGATCCACGACCGCTGCATGTACACGCCGAGCGCGCCCAGCTGGCCGGCCCCGTACGCCTGCCCGCAGAGCGTCTCCAGCGCGCTGCCCATGCCGAGGAGGAAGCCGAAGGAGAAGTTGGAGACGACGGAGAGGCCGACGGCGGCGGCGGAGAGCTGCAGGTTGCCGAGGCGGCCGGCGAAGAGCTGCGTGGCGGAGTTGACGCCGTAGAGGCAGAGGATGTTGAAGGTGATGGGGGCCGCGATGACCCACAGCCGCTCCGCCTCCCGCACAAACGCCTGCCGCGCCTCCGCGTAGCTCCTCGGCGCCGCCGCGTCCTCCTCCGCGACCACGGACGGCCTCTTCACCAGCAGCGGCGCCTCCATGAGGACCATGACCGACCGACCAACAGACTCTGCTCGACTCCGACGACGTACGACTGAACTGAGATGAGCAGCTAGGAGTAGCTAGCTAGCTCCCCGGCCGTCACCTCAGCTACTAGTCGGGTCGAGACGTACGAGATCGATCGGTCTGGCCGCCATTGTCCAGGGCCAGCGCTCTCGATATATATACAGGCGGGCGGCCGAGGTAGGTGAGAACGGTGAGGTGAGGTATCGAAGTGGGTTTTTGGTTGCGATCGATGGCAGCTAGCAGCTGCTGCAGCAGCACAGTGCGTCGACCGGGCATGGCGGAAACTAGCGAGGGCGGGCGAGACGCGGGAGGTCGTCGTACGCGACGCATCCGCTGCATGTGGATTCCGGCGCAGGAGGTTGACGGAAGGGACGAACCGACTATAGCTTTGTTTGTCACAAAGGCATGGCTCATGTGAGTGATCAGATCGTAGAAACAAGAGTTGGTAAGGCAGGTAGAGGAGCATGGAAGTGACGCGGATTATGTCTCTTTCTCTCGAGTCGTGACCATGTCCTCCCCCGTAAAAATGCTAAGTCACTGTCACGCCGTAAGAGCATCTTCAACGGCCGCCCAAGACGCAGCGCGCCGATCGCCTGTTTTTGCGCGACACGTGGCGCTGGCTTCAGTGGCCGCTGTAAACTTTAGCGTGCTGTAGCTTCAACAGACGCTGCAAAAATGCAACGCGCGCGCTCTCGCACAAACAATATATGTACTCCGAACAATATAAAAAAACATATGCATAGATAAAATAGATAAAAAAACGATATATAGATATTTCACAATGCGTACATGGTTCATCATAGCATAGATAGAAAAAAACGAGTCCAACACGATAAAAACTACTACAATACAACTAGATAAAACTACGGTGCAACTAGAACCTACTCCGAGTCGTCATCACCATTCTCGTTGGTGTCGTCCGAGGTATCGAGCCACACGTCTTCCCAACGAGAATCGTCTGAGTCGAGAAACGACCCCCACCAGCGTTAACGAGATCGCACTGCGCCTCTGCGAGTGCATTCCGCCGACGCATGTCGGCCCGCTCCGCGTGGTGCCTTGCCGTCCTCTCCGCCCAGAAGGCGTTTTCGTCGACGACGTCCTGCGAGTAGCGCCAGCGCCACTCTGCCATGGCTCGCTCGTCCTCCTCGGCGATGAGGAGGCGGCGCTGCCGCCGACGGTGTTCCTCACGGTCTCGACAAGGCGGAGGGGCTACGTCCTGCGCCTGTTCGGGCGTGAAGACGTCGTGAAAGTTCATCTGCGTGCGAGGCCTCTGGAGGCGCCATGCCGCCACGTCGTACGCGCGGGCGGCCTCGTGCGCAGTCTCGAACGTGCCGAGGCCGAGGGGACGTCACCGGACCGAATCTCCACGTAGAAGGCGCCGGAGGGGCGCTCGCGGACGCCGCGGTAGCGGGAAGATCCCCGGCGGCGCGGCGGCATGGTGGCGCAGTGATGGCGCGTCGGTGGCAGGGCGAGGAAGCGATAGAGGAAGCAGAGGAAGCGGGAGGAGTGTGCGTGGCAGTGTGGGTAGCGATGGGAGGCCGCGTGGTGAGCGCCGTAATTTATAGGCGCGCCGGAAGCGGTGCGCCAAATCTAGCGCGCGACCGCCCGCTTTCTCCCGAGCGCGCTAGTTTCCCGCCTCCGCTGGAGCGCGCGAAAACGTCCCCCCGCGCGCTAAAATGGTAGTTTACCACGCGCGCGCGTATTGGCGCCGCTGTTGGAGATGCTCTAAGAACATCTACAGCCCCAAATCCAGCCCCCTATACGTCCGCTCCGGACCGGACCGCCCCTCATATGCCCCGCCTCGCATACCTTAAATCTGAACTCTTAAATACATACAAATTCATGCACGCCCATCCAATGTCACACGTAAATAACAAATATTAGCAACAAAAATACACAGTTCTTACATAAAATTGATGTCAAGTGCACAATTTAAATATTAGCTATTTAGTTTTCATTATGGGTCCACATATATTTCATACAATCATTGAGTAGCTACGTGTGGACCTAATGATCTCGAAGATTCTGATGCGTCTACAGAAAGTTCATAAACTGATTTGCATCTTGATCTATCGGGATTTAGACTTGTTCTCCACGCGCTTCAAAATCATTGATTTAGGCTACCTCATAACCCTCATCGTCGACAATTATATTGTGCAAAAAAACACAACATGTCATCGGCTGCCACAAAGTTTCCGATTCCCACATCATTGCAGCTCCAAGAATAATTCCCCAACGAGCTTGAAGCACTCCGGGTGCCCTCTTCACATCCTTCCTAGCTGCTTCTTGCATTGTTGCAAAGTGACTTTTTTGTTGCCTTGTGGTTCGGATATAGTCTTCATAAATGCCGCCCACTGAGGATAGATGCCATTGGCAAGATAGTATCGCATGTTGCGGTCACGGCTGTTCATAGTGTAGTTGCACGGCGGCGATTCCCCATTACAAAGCCTCCTGAACACGGGAGATCGTTGAAGCACATTGATGTCGTTATGAAAACCCAATATTCCAAAGAAAGCATGCCAAATGCATAAGTCATGTGATGCCACTGCTTCCAATATGATGTTGACCTCTTTGGTGTGACCTTGGTACATTCCATGCAGACCTTTAGGATAGTTCTTTCATTACCAATGCATGCAATCAATTGATCCGAGCATTTCTGAAAACCCTCTTGCCTCTCCAGCAGCCAACAATTTTTTTGTGTCCTGCACGTTTGATTCTCCCAGATACTCTACTCCAAACACCTGGAACACGGCGCGGGCAAACCTGATAGTTGTCTTCGGGCATGTGATCTCCCCCATCCGCACCATCTCACCAACTGCATCAGCGGCACTGCGGCAGTACCAAGTGCAAGCATCCTCAGAGCAGCCGTGCATTTCTGCATAACAAAGAAAGAAAGTTGGCTGCAACAATCCTACTGAGCCCGAAGTAGTCAATATGTGCCTCCACCCCCTCCATAATGCGCAAAAACAATGATTTGTGCATACGAGCACGGCGATGAAATCATGGATCATTAGAAAAGTTGGCTCAGGATCAAAGTAGTCCTTGTACACTAGCCGTGCTCCGGAGACCCTATCCCGATTGATTACTCTTCTCCTTTTGACTGAGCCCTTAAATTTGAGAATATGCTTCACCTGCCAGTCCATTTCCTCTTGCATGCTCATGAGCATGATCATACCCACTTCTTCATTTGAATCCAACGAATCGAATAACTCATCTTCAATCATTTTATCAAGCTTCGTCGGTCCATACTCCTCGTCTGATGAAGCATCGAAATCCATCGACTTCCTTACGAATAAATCACAAAAAACCGGGTCGGACAATGTGTTGAACACATAGAGCATAAGGGGCAGCCTGAAAGTTGTCGGACATATTGCGGTGGCGTCTGGGACGGCGACGATGTCTGCGTTGGTGAGCACGGTAGAGAGGACTGCAGTGCCGATGTCGGCGGTGCTGAGGCTCGGAACGGCGTTGGAGCTACGAGACGTCCACGTGAAGGATGAGAAGAGAGGAGACAGCAAATGTAATCGATAGGCCGGGATGGATTTGGTGTAATTTGTGATGGGTCGAGGTGTCGGGTCTGACGTGACGGACCAGTCCAGTCATACCCGGGTCTCCCTATATCCACCCTATATTTAGACAGGATATAAGGTGTGGTGATCAGACCGGGCATTTAAGGCTAATTTGAGGCACCCATTTGATCGAGTTTTTTTACCGATCAATGACCGGACGTCCGTTCAAATAGACGTTTGAGAGAAGTTTGAGGCGCCCTGTAGATGCTTAAAACTTCCGTAATATTCCGTCGGGTGATCTGTAGGTGCAGGCATGTGCAATCTTCAGAATTTGCCCGACGTCCTGCATGCATGTTGGAACTGTCGCCTGTCTTGGAGCCATTCACTGGTTATTTTTTAATCAGTCGATCGCGGTCACAGCCTAAAATTGCACAAAAAACGTTTTTGCTTTACCATTTACTGTGAGGCAAGAGCCCCACGGCCCCTCGTATATTTTTTAAAAGAATGTGCAAGAACAAAGTGAAAAAAAAATGTACTACTTTTGTATTACAATATAAGATGTTATATATATATATTTTTAATCACAAAATGTCGGAGAAAAATGCGGAAGAAATAAGAAACTAAAAATAAAAAAAAGAGAGAGAGAACTTTAGCTATGCTTTAAAAAGAAGGGTGAGAGCCATGACCACTATTGATTGCAGTGATCCTTGTACACTCTAGTACATTCGTAGACAAATAGCTGAATTTTCTACCACCGTCGACATGATAACAATTCAGATCACCCGTAAATAAACTGACTAGACCACTAGTATACAGCTAAATGTTCAGCAAACACGGCGGTTTCCTTGCACTTTACTTTTTTAAATTGCAACCTCCATGGAGTTCTCTTTTTTTGTGTTTGCTATTTGTAACTCGCTGGAAAATGGTAATCAGTCAATTTTACGAGAGAGGAAGAAGAAACACGCAAGGAGCTCTGATGTCAGGGCCGGCCCTGAGAAGGGGCGGCCGCCCCGGGCCCCCTCCCAGGAGTGATTACGTGTAAAGGTAAATAGCCCATAGGTCATATATTCACGTAGAAAAAAAGAAGTAGCCAAAGTAAGGAAGGAAGGAACGACAAGTTACAGCGTATATGCACGTAAATCACGTCATCGTGTGGAAAAAAATGATCATGTTACATACGTAAATCACGCCGCCCCGTTATCTTTACTAGCAAAAGAGCCCGTGTGTTGCAACGGAAGAGAAAACATAATACACGCTCTTAACTCAACAATCATCACTCAAGACCACAATAGGTCCATCTCTTTTATTTTTACGAGGCATCATATTTGTGTTTCCGCTTATCCTCCTTCTCACCCTCGGTGTTCACACAAAACAACAAAAAATGTGTGTTGAATATGGTTAATCCTAAGGCGTCTCTCTCTTCCTCTCTCCTCCCTCTCCCTCTCTCTCTCGCTCGTTTTCTCTCACTCTCGCGA